AGGATTCCGAAAACACCGGTGTAGACAACCAAGTGTTCTCCAGTGACCCGAAATGTCCCGCTGCCTTTTAAATGGAGGATTTGGGATTGAAGTTGCAAGAAAGAGCAATGGTGATGCGGCTATTCCTCCCCCTGTGGCTTGTGCTCTGTGTTGCACGGTTGCACAGGGTTATGCAATTGTGTTCGTCTGTTTATTGGATTATTTTGGGTGTGGGCCGTATGTCGGCGTGAAATATCGAATGCGAGTGGGGTTTTAAATGGCTGTGCTTTAATTATGAGGGTAATGGTGTGTGTTTGTTAAAGCTCTTATTAGTGTAATGGATTGCATTTTTGTATTTTTTCTCTTCTAAATTTTAGAATAAGAAATGTTTTTCACTATCATTCTAACTTGTAAGTCTTGGAATGTAACCCAGATTTCATGTATTTAGCATGATGAAATGCTCTTCCATGGTGCAATAATAACCAGTTGATAGAAACAGTGAGGTGTGGTGTTATTTCAGACCACTAGCAAATTACCCAGAACATATATGTTTAAACAAGCATTTTTATATCCTGTCATTATGCTTTTGATAACAACAAACAAATTATGCTGTGTACTCATGGGGGGGGGGGCAAAGTAGAACAGTGCTTGTGGTTTGTAAACAGCATGTGACTCCCTTGTACCAGATGGCTGTGAGCCCAGTGGTACCCTTTCAGAGCCAAAAATTCCTGTGTGTTGTCGATGGTATTCTGAGTCCTGTATGTCAAGGTTCTGCAGCCACACTTTGCCTGTCCGTAGAGCGATAATTGACTTGTTGTTTAGAGGAGTTTTGGGCTTCTTGAAAGGACCATGTGCTAGATTTCATGTGTTTTGAGAAAGGTAGCCTCGTATGTTCTAATTTCTTTCTCATGGATTTTGTTTGATATAGTGAAGTTTGTTCGACCACATTACATCTTAATAATGTATTCAAAAGGATTAATCTTGCTCCAGAACTCTAAATGATATCCAGTACTTGTTAATAGTAAATGAAAAATGACATTTTAATTAATGAGGCAGTAATTGTTTTGACATTTTCATTTGTCACCTGTAGTTATTCACTCTGATTACCTTGGGGAGTATTAAGACACTTAAACTGAAATACAGACAACTATAAGGATTTGGCAACCTGTTTATTGTTTTTCCTAAGTTATTCGCATGCAGTTCATGTGTCATGATGATGATGCTCTTACACAGTGGAAAGTTTGTCGTATCTTGGTATGAATATGCTGTCTTCATGCATGTTACCTTTTCCAGGTAACGGTGTCTTTTCTTCATAGATATATATACATTAGTTGTGAATTATTTTTGCAGCTTTTGCAAGTCAACCCTATGGAATTAAAGGTATTATTTTTAGGAGTCTTGGACAAGTTATTTTACCGAGGGATCACAAGTCAACCCTATGGAATCAAAGGTGTTATATTTAGGAATCTCGTACAAGTAGATTTTATGGAGAGATCAAACTTATCGTTGGTGACTTACAAGTGTGATGAAGTATTTGGTATTGCCGGAAGCCTTTGGAAACTAAACTAAAACTTGTGTTTGATCATTGAGAATTGCAGATTCATTTTACGTTCATAGAGAGAGGGAGGTAACGCTTTTAGTCATTAAAGATTTATTTTTACTCTCAGACGTGTGTGTGCGCGTGTGCGTGCGTGCGTGCGTGTGCATATGCATGTGCGCCTGCATATGTGTGTGTGCATGAGAGTGAGAGTGAATGTTCCTCTTGCATTTTGATGCTTGATTTTACTCTCAGATATATATTTGTGTGTGTGTGTGTTTGTTTGTTTCCATGAGAGTGAGAGTTAGTGTATCGTCTGAATGTTTCTTTTGCATTTTGATGCTCTATGTTGTATATCATATCAGAAAAAGATAAGTTTTATATCAAGAAGAATCTTGCTTTTGAGGTCTGAAATTGCTGCTTCTGATATCAGGTTGGACAAAATCTGCAGTCATTCTATTATATAAAGATTTCGAAAAATCCCATTGAAGCAAAAAAAAAAAAAAATCCTAATCTCTGTTGGCCTATGAAGATCTTGTTCGGTTTCCCTCTCGCGCGTCCTCTGTTAATGGCCAACGCATTGAGTTTGCGATTTCATTCATAACTAGGTTGACAACGCTGATAGTTCGTGGAGGATGGGTTAAGTTTGCCATCGGAAGCCCCCTCTATTGTTGTGTTTCATTGTGGTTTGAGATCCTGGAAATCCTGTGAATTATATGTCTCACGCTTCCTGTACCAGAGAGACTGTGCCAGAAGTCCACTTTTTTTTTTCTCTCTTCTCTCGACTTTTTATCCGGTTGCGACAAAAAGACGTACAGTTCTCGGATGCGTGTACTTAGGTTGGCCGACTTGGTGGGATTGGTCTCGTCTGTCGTATTTTTTTGTTTTGTTTCTTTTGTTGTTGTTTTTTGTTGTGTGTTTTATTTGACTTTTTAAATTGAGATCTGAAATGTTGTGTGTTGGAAAGGCTCGGGATCTGCACCCCCCCCCCTCAACCACCACCACCAAAGCGTGTACCAGGAAGGCAAACAGCGCGAAAGCTACAGCCGTGGTATGAATTTTGGCCTTCTGTGGTCTCTTCTGTCTTGATGGTGGATTTGGGCCGAGGGAGGGGAAGGGGGGGGAGGGGAGGGGAGGGGAGGGGGGGGGCAGAGCTGTTGGTAGGCTTCCCTTTGGAACTAAGCTTGTTGTGGGTGTGTGCCGTAAGGCCTACGAAGTGTGGGTATGTTTGTATAATGTGTGAGAGTGTGAGTGATGGGAGTATAACTGTCCTTTGCGATGACATTTACATTGAAGATGAGTGTTATAAGGAGAAATGATTATGTCTGAGAGAGAGAGAGAGAGAGAGAGAGAGAGAGAGAGAGAGAGAGAGAGAGAGAGAGAGAGAGAGAGAGAGAGAGAGAGAGAGAGAGAGAGAGAGAGAGAGAATCAAGACGAATAGTATCGTAGGGTCGCTATTATTTTCCACGAATCTCCGAAAGGTGACCACGTAGCCACTGAAATAGAAAAAAAGAGGAAAGAATGAAAGTAAATTCAACAATAAGGAACAAATGGGTTGAGTAATATCGGATCCAATAAAAATCAGGTCGTGCGATGAATTGACATTTACGGGAATTACGGGTAATGCAGTCGGTGCGTTAATTTTAATCGGGTCTCGTATGTGTCTGGAGTGAGCGTGCGTGCGTGCGTGCGTGCGTGCGTGCGTGAGAGCTACTGGAGGAGTTGTAGCTTCGCGAGTCTCGAGTGTTGTTATAGGATCTCCTTGCGTGTTTAGGACGGGGGGGGGATAGGGGAGGGGGGGGAAGGAGTGATGTAATACTTGCGGGTCGCGAGGCAGAAGAAGGCCCCTTGCAACCGTGCTGGTGGCAACATCGGTTCCCTTCGGCTGGCTTTGTATCCCGGTTGGTTACTTGGGGTGTTAGGGGGGGAAGGGGGGGGGCTGCTCCTTTGTCTCTTTGAGATCTGTTGCACTCCGTAAATGTGTGTGTGTGTGGTGTGTGTGTGTGTGTGTGTGTGTGTGTGTGTGTGTGTGTGTGTGTGTGTGTGTGTGTGTGTGTGTGTGTGTCAACAGAGAGAAAGAGAAAGAGAAAGAGAAAGAGAAAGAGAAAGAGAGAGAGAGAGAGAGAGAGAGAGAGAGAGAGAGAGAGAGAGAGAGAGAGAGAGAGAGAGAGAGAGAGAGAGAGAAAGAGAAAGAGAAAGAGAAAGAGAAAGAGAAAGAAAGAGAAAGAGAAAGAGAGAGAGAGAGAGAGAGAGAGAGAGAGAGAGAGAGAGAGAGAGAGAGAAGAGTGTGTGTAGGTAGGTAAGTGCAATTGTGCAAGCGGTTCGCTAGATAATCCAGATCTAACAAGCTGTCAACATCTCGGGATCTCGCCTATTTTTGGTGTCACGAATCCCCCCCGGGCGTTTTTTCTGGCTTCTCTCAACCCCCTCCGCCTTGTCCGTACGTAGCCTGAAGAACAGACAAGAGTTCTGTTCTGTTCTGGCCCCTCGTTCGCTGGCGCCGGCGTTCAGTAGATCAGTAGAACATTGGGCATAGGAGGAAGGTACTCGGGTATGTGTGGGGGGAGTAGGAGAGGGGAGGGAAGGGGGGTAGCATTCCCCGGAGGTCAGTAGGCTACGAGTCTAGGCCAGTGTCAGAGGCGCGAGGTGTGCCAGAACCGGCCGGGGGGGGGGGGGCGTCCAGCGATCCCGTGGCACCGGCAGAGCGAGGAGTGCCGCGTCGGGCCCCGGGCGGACTCGGAGGGACGCGGTCAGAGGGGGGACTTCTTCTTCTTCCTCCCTCGGTCGAAACTCCTTCTAAAGTATTCCTCTTTCTCCCTTTCTTTCGCAGAGAGAAGTGAAGCGTAGTGCTAAGTCCGGCTACATTCTACATCGGCTGATACGTCGCCAAGGTGAGGATTCATTTTTTTTTTTTTGTTTTTGTTTTTTTTTCTATCGACAGTGTTCGACAAATCATCATCATCATCATCATCATTCGACCGACAGTCTCTCGCTCTTTTTCTTCCCTTCTCGTTTCTTCGACCCTCTGTCATGGCTGCCTCCTTCCTCTCCCCATTTACCCGCGCGATTCCGAGCAGGGTTTTGACACGTGCCCAGGCGTGACACGTGGCCGGGCTTGACAAGCAGACCGGTAGGCAGACAGGCAGAAGAGAGGCAGCGGGTGGCACTGCGCCTGCCAGCCGAGCCAGCACGTGCCTCGAGCCGCGGTGCCATTCTTCGTCGCGAGGAACCCGCGGCGAGGCTCAGAGAAAACGGTAGATGGGCAAGGCGCTGGGGTACTCTTTAGGAGGGACGGGCAAGGGACACGCACACACGCGCACGCACGACGCACGACACTCGCACACGCACATACACACGCACACGCACATACGCACATGCACACACGCACAATGCACACACAACACACACACACACATACAACACACACACAACACACACACACACACACACACACACACACACACACACACACACACACACACACACACACAAAACACATACACACACACACGAATTTACGTACATGGAATTTGTATATGTGTGTGGAAGATGTGTATGTTTCGCACGCCCACCCACGCCCACACGCACTCACATGAAGGGCGCAAGCGGTATCCTCTTTTTCTCCTTTCCTTTTCTCTCCTCCCTTCCGTTTCCCTCTTCCCTCTCCGCTCCACTCTTCTTTCCTCTCCTTTCTTCTCCCTTTTCCTCTTTCCCCCTCCTTCCCTCGCTCTCTGCTTCTCTCCTCTCTATTGCCCATTCCCCTCTCTATCTGTCTATTATCTATCCTCCTCCCTCCCTCCCTCCCACTCTCTTTCTCTCTATATATTTTCTCCCTCCACCTCTCTGTCTCCATCTCTTCCCCTCCTTCTCCTCTCTCTCTCCTCCCCCTCCTTCCTCCCTCTCTCCCTCCCCCCCTCCTCCCTCTCTCTCCCCTCGCTCCCCTCCCTCCCTCTTCTCTCCCCCTCCCTTCCCTCCTCTCCCCTCCTCCCTCCCCCCTCCCTCTCTCTCCCTCTCCCTCTTCCCACCTGCCTCCTCCCCCCCCCCTCCTTCCCTCCCCGGACCCCGCCGTCCCCCGCACCGTCAGCGGCCCGTTACATGCACCTGCCTTTGTGAACCCGCCCCGCACGCCCATCCGAACCGTGCGGTCAGCCCGTGATGTCAGCAGCTCCCCCCTCGTTTTTTAACTTTCCTTTAAAAAAAAGTGGGGGGGGGGGAAGGTTTATAACTTTCCTTAAAAAAAGAGGGTGGGAAAAAAAGGTTTATAACTTTCCTTAAAAAAGAGGGTGGGGAAAAAAGGCTTATAACTTTCCTTAAAAAAGAGGGTGGGGAAAAAAGGTTTATAACTTTCCTTAAAAAAAGAGGGTGGGGAAAAAAAGGGTTTAAACTTTCCTTAAAAAAAGAGGTGGGGAAAAAAAGGTTTATAACTTTCCTTAAAAAAAGGGGTGGGGGAAAAGGAAAAAAAGGTTAAGGTTATAATTTCTTAAAAAAAAAGAGGGTGGGGAAAAAAAGGTTTATAACTTTCCTTTAAAAAAAGAGGGTGGGGAAAAAAGGTTTTAACTTTCCTTAAAAAAGAGTGTGGGGAAAAAGAGTTTATAACTTTCCTTAAAAAAGAGGGTGGGGGGTGGCTTATAACTTTCCTTAAAAAAAGAGGGGGGAAAAAAGGTTTATAACTTTCCTTAAAACAAGGCTTATAATTTTCCTTTCATTGTTCATTGTCTGTGTCTGTTGCATCTCTCGACGTCTTTGGTCCCTCGGTGTTCGTTTGCTCGCCTTCCGGGACTGACCTGGTTTGGTCTCCTCGCCTCCCCCTTTGCCGCACTCGTCACACAAGCGCCGCGCCCCGTGTCTTTGCCCTTGCTTCTCCCCTGCGTCTGCGTCTGCTCCTGTCCTGCCTCTTCCATCTCTGTGTCTGCCCTCCTGTCTGCCTCTTTCTGCTGCCTGCCTGTCCCTGTTTCTGCCTCTGTCTCTGCCCAAGCCCCTGTCCCTGTCCCTGTCCCTTCCCTCCCTGCTCTGCTCCTACACTGTGCTGCCTCTGTCTCTGCCCGCCCTGTCCCCCCTGCCTGTGTTGTCTGCCCCTACTGTCCCGTCCCTCCCCTCGTTTGTCACGGTTCTCTGAGGGATCGGCCGTGATTTGTTTGTTTATGTTTAGTGGATATATCTTTGTTTGTTTGTTTTGTTTGTGTGGATTCTTGATGCTGTCGGATTGTCGGCTTAGTGAGGGTATAGGTGGCCTTGTTTGATCGGAGGGAATGAGAGAGGAAAAGGAAGAGAGAGGAGGAGAGGGAGAGAGGGTGAGGGGGAGGGAGAGGAAGAGGAATAGAGAGAGGTGGAGGGAGAGCAATAGAGAGAGGGGGAGAGGGAGAGGGAAAGGAAAGGGAATAGAGAGAGGGGAGAGGAAGAGAAGAGGAGAGGGAGAAAATCGGAGAGAGAGGGGGAAGGAAGAGGAATAGATAAAGGGGGAAGGGATAGGAATAGAGAGAGGGGGAGAAGAGGAAGAGAGAGGGAAGGAATAGAGAGAGGGAGGGAGGAAGAGGAAGAAAGAAGAGAAGGGAAGGAGGAAAGAGAAGAGAGAGGGGGGAGGAATAGGAAAGAGAAAGACAGAGAGAGAGAGGAGAGAGAAGAGAGAGGAGTAGAGAAGAGAAGAAAGAGAGAGAAGAAAGAGAAGAAGAAGACAAATGCAGTCAGACAAAGAGAGGAAGGGCGCGAGAGAGAGACGTTGATAAGAAGCGAAGGGAAACGGGGAGCGCGGATTGAATATTAAAGCTGAAAGCACAACTCCCACGCCTCCCCTCTTTCCCTCCCTCCCTTCCTCCTCCCCTCTTCTTTCTCTCTTCCGTGTCCCCCTTTTCTTTTCTTCCGTGTCCCTCTTTTTCTTTTTTTTTGCCCTCTTCTCTCTTTTTCCTTCTTTCCTCAACTCCCTCCGCTTCCTCTCTCTCCTCCGCTCTCTTCCTTTCTCTTCTCTTTTCCTTTCTCTCTCTCTCTCTCCCTCCCTTCTCTCCTTACCCTTTTCCTGTCTCCCCCTCTCCTCCTTCTGAACCTTCCTACTTCCTTCCTTCATCCCTCATCCCTGCTCCTCCTCTCTTCTCTCCCTCTTCCCTCCTCCTTCTCCCCTCCTTCTCTTACCCTCTCCTCATCCTCTTTTCCTCCCTCCCCCCTTCTCCCCTCCTTGTCTTAACCTCTCCTCTTCCCATCTTTCCACCTTCCCCCTTCCTCCTCCTCCCCTTCCTCCCCTCCTTGTCTTACCCCTCTCCCTTTCCATCTTCCCCCCTTTCCCCCTTCTCCCTTCCTCCTTTGCCTCCCTTCGCCGTGTTTTCCCTGCGCGAGAGTGTTTGCGCTTGCATGCATGGTAGGCCACACATGAGCGTGACCACCAGCGAACAGTGGGTGAGGGGGATGGAGGGGAGGGGAGGGGAGGGGAGGGGAGGGGGGAGAAGTAGAACAGTGTCGACGCCGAGTGACGAGAATTTCACCGAGGAACAGCTACCTTGGCGTCGTGGTCTCGTCCACTGTCTTTCTCTTCTCCTCTTCTTTCTCCTCTCTCTCAATTTCCTCTCCCTCTTCTCTCTTCTCCTCTCTCTTTCTCTCTTTCTCATCTCTTCCTCTCTTCTCTCCCTCATCTCTCTCTCCTTCTCCACTTCTCTCTCAGTCTATCTCGTCTCTCTCGTCCCTCTCTCTCTCTCTCTCTCTCTTTTTTTCTTCTCTGCTTTTTTTTCTTTTCTCCTCTCTCCGCCCCTGTTTGCTTTGTTTTCTCCTTTTTATTTCTTTCTTCTTCTCCGTTCACTTCCTCTTTCCTGTTTTCACTCCTCAGGGAAATGCCAGGCCAGGGAAAGTTGATCGAAGAGGAGAGAGAGAGAGAGAGAGGAGAGAGAGGAAGGAGAGAGAGAGAGAGAGAGAGAGAGAGAGAGAGAGAGAGAGAGAAGAGAGAGGAGAAACGAAAGGTAAAACATCATCTTTTATCGGACGTGTGCTCATAACACCACTACCTTCCCCCCTTTTTTTCCCTCACGTTTTTCCCTGTCTCGCACCTCCCGCCCCCCCCCCCCCCCTCCCTCTCCCATTGGTTTTCCTCGTCAGCTGATCATCGCTGCTGCTGTGCTACCCTCCTCCTCCTCCTCCTCCGACGACCGTGGCATGATAATGATAGTGGGATGATTTCTTTTTATGATAGTGAATGATAGAAAGAAGTAGGGGTGGTCGGAGCATCGGTACGGTCGAGCGTCTCAGCCCCTTTGGTTTTGTTTTGTGCTTTTGAATTTTGGGTGGAGAATTATGAATGAGAATGGGAACCGCCTTCTTTTCTTTACCCTTTTGCCCTCCCTCGTTCGCTTCTTCTTCTTTTATGCATTCTTCTTCCTCATTCCTCGTTTTTCTTCCTCCTCCTATTCCTTCTCCTCCTTCCTCCTCCTTAATTACACTCCTCATAACCCACCTATCCTCGCCTTCTCCCTTTCTTCTCAATCATCCCCTTACCTCTCCCATCCCTCTTCCCTCAAATCCTCTCTGCTCTTCTCCTGCCTCTCCGTCTCTCTCTTCTCCTACTCCTCCTCACTCCATTCCTTCCCTTCCTCCTCCTCCTCCTCGACTCCTTCCTTCCTCCTCCTCTCTTCTCTCTCTCCTCACTTCCTCCTCCTCCTCCTCCTCCTCCTCCTTCCCATTTTCCTCCTGCTTCTCCTCACTGTCCTCTCATCACCATCCTCTTCTCTCCACCACCCAATTTCCGTGTTTGTTTTCTCTTTTGTTTTCCTTTTTTTCTTTTTTTTATTGTGCTCGTGGCGAGCAGATAACGATTGTTAAGATTCTTACGAGATAGGGGCCTCTTTTATCATCCGTCCTACGTGGTCTTAATAAGGAAAGGCTGTCGGGGATGTTATTGCGCCATTGGCCAACTGTG